CTCAGCCCGGAGGCGAGGGCCATATGTTTTCGTATTGAAACACCTCAGCAGATTGGTCAGCAAATTCGTTGTCAACACTGTATCTCTTATCTCACCCCTTCTCTCTCTCTCTCTCTCTCTCGCCTAGTTTATCTTATGGTTATCCCTCTCTTTCTCTCTCTCTTCTAGCTTATCTTACTGTGGCGGTAACACTTGTTTTGTATTGGATAATGTGTACTGTATTTTTAAATACAATAGCACTCTTTTATTTAGTCACTGTTTATGGTCTCTTATCATGAAATAACTGAAGGCTACTATTGGGGGTTGTGCTCCTGAAAAACCCATCGCTAGGTGAATATCGTAAATAGGGAGCATTATAACATTGGTTTCAATGGAATACGTTCCCAGCCAGTCCCCAAACACACATGTAACACTGACAAAAAATTTCCTGTGCTACTGCTATTAGTACAAAATAAGTAAACAACACTCACCACATAGTATTTGATATGTCTGGTCATCATCACATGTCCCCTTTGAGGCTACGGGACTCTTGTAGGTGGAGTGGAGACGTCACTCCCACACAACCTCTGGGGAATATGGAGAGGCTGGAGGCTGAGTGGGAGTCTGAGTCCTAGAAGGGGCTTCTACAGGTGTAGGCTTTGGCTTGGCTTTAAAGACAGTGAAGTTCCTGGGTGGGACTGGAGAGGTGGCAGAAGTTGAGGGGTGTGGCTCTGACTGTGGCAGAGGTTTGAAAAAGGGGGTGATTGTTGTCTGACATGCCTCCTTCTAAAGATACAGCTCCTTGTAGCAGAGCATACCCTTCTCCACCACTGCCCTCACAGACAAACTCCTGTTGATGTTGGGGTCATTCTCAGTAAGGAGCTCCATGGTAGTGTTCACGTGGTCCATGGCATTGTTTAGCACCTTCAGAGTCAGCGTCATGGGTGCAGAGTTTTCCTCTTCACCCACTGACTCTTCCATTCACTGCTGCTGTTCCAGGAGCAACATGACCTCTGTGCTGAGCTCCTCAGAGTGACTGCCCAAGACCTCAACCACATTGGTCTTCATCCACCTCTTGAAAGTCGGCTTCCTGGGAGATGTTGGCGATGTCGCGGTGTACAGCCACAACATCGTTGAAGCCGCTGAACTCGTACACTCACTCGGGCCACACTTTCCTCCACGCTGCATTCATGCCGCTTTATGTGACCTCCTTCCACGACTTGTCAATATTGTGTATGGCGTGCTTGATGTTGTAGCTATGACAGAATTCTTTGATGGCTGGCTTTCCCTCTCCAAGTCTTCATCTGTTGCCTCAAACAGCTGTTTCATCACCCTCCTCAAGTACAGTCTCTCTTCCACTTACGACGGGGTTCCGTTCCGACAACCAAGCTGTGAGTCGAACCTATGGAAATAATACATAGTGCAGGTATTAATTGTACAGTAAAACTTTTACCTTTTTAATACACAAACTGAGCGGGATACGATGTGAATGCTGTACGCACGCAGCAGCGTGCCAACCGAAGTTGTTGTAAGGCGTTGTTAGACATTACGACCAAGCGTCTAGACTCAAAAATAATGTAAAATATTTTAATATAACTAAAATGACCGTCTTAAGTTGAGGTGAGACGTAGTAAGTCTTGAAGGTGGCGATGACACGCTGTTCCATCGGCTGGTTGAGTGAGGTGGTGTTGGGGGTGGGGGGGGGGGACAGAAACATCACTGGTGTTCTCAGTTCAATCGCCTATCGTAGGCGGGTGCGATGGCTCCTTGTCGAGGATCAGGAGAAACTTTTTAGTGATCTGTTTCTCGGTGTACTCCTTGAGGTGCTTGGAAAGAGAGCCAGCCAAATAATTCTGGTATAACACCTTCGTTACCCAGGCCTTTTTGTTGGAGCGCCAGATGAATGAGAGGAGTCAACTTAAGGTCCCACTCAGCATTATTTTTTTGGCCGCCTTGAAGGCCTTGAAGCCTGGTGCAGTCTCCTCCTCCTTGGCCGGGAAAGTCGTTGATGCCATCTTCTTCCAAAACTGGCCCGTCTTGTCGAAGTCCAGGACCTGCTTTGCGTTGTATCCTTCTTTCTCCACCTTAGCCTTCAGGAGTGTCGGGAAGGTGTTAGCACTCACGATGTCAGCACTGGCTGCCTCACCAGTCAGATGAAGGTTGTGGAGACTGGTGCACCTCTTGAACCAATGAAACCAAAATATTATTGTAATGTACTATATTCCACTGTATCTGCACTACACTGTATCACTTAACAGTTTTATTAACTGTGCTGAAATATTACTGTAATGTACTGTATTAACCTGTAGTGTTTAGTTAGCTGTAAGAAAAAACCGGGGATAACAACATAAGCACAGTCATATCAGCCAACACAGAGTTGATGTACTTAATCACAAAAACACAGAAAATATCACATCACAGTCACCATAACACAGTTCAATCTAAATGTTAGTGCTGTCCTCTAACTATATAAGTAAAAAAAAACACGTCGATGATAAGTACAATGTACGATGCTGGCTGATAATTGTGGAGCCATGTGATGGCAGGTTTTATGATTGACAAAGAACCAGACACAGCTGTAGTGCTCGAGTTGGCTGTGTGGCAGCGCATGGGCAGGCTGAAAAGTGAAGGTAGAGATGCATGGTGCATAGGGTTAAATATCATTTTCTTATCAAATTTCACTGACCTTACGTAGAAAATAGAATTTGCATTGCTGGAATCATTGTAAGACGGCAGTTAATTTGAATACAGTGGTCCCGCTGTTAACGAGCACAATTCGTTCCAGAAGGTTGCTCGTTAACCGAAAAATTCGTTAACCGAAACCATTGTTTCAATGGGTTTTCGGGTAATTGTTTCCAGCTCACTGAAAATTACATACAAACAAAAAATAAATGCAGTGAAGTACACTTACTTTGAGGTGTGCATGTAGAAGGCTCCTCGTTGATGATGATGATGATGATTGGAATTAGAATGGGGGTGGAGGAGAAGGGAGAAGAGAAGGCATTGGGGTTGAAGAGAAGTCACCCCATGCTGCCATTTCACCCATAAAATTTTAGTTCACTTGGTGTAATTCAAGATTATTTTCTTTAAATCATAACTGCACTGCATTATATATTGTCAATATGTAAAATATATTTCAAAATGACCAATAATTTGACTGGAAACACAGAAAAAGAGCGTTTAGTTGAAGAGGGTCTCAAACAAGATGTTCCTTCCTCTGACCTGGTAAACAAACTGACGCCAAGCTTGGTGTGTTGACAGGCTGTTTGGCACGCAAAAAACTAGCTTCTTGTACTTCAATTATGTTCAATAATTGTTAAAATAACTAAACAATTTAATATAAAACTTTTAAAATTATTGAATAGTACAACCTTCTTGATATTTACAAAAATGGGAAGGAATTTAAGCCCTAAAACCGATTACTGTATTGGCGGACTAATACTACAGCTGGTGGACCGCCAAATGCAGGCGAAAACATGTTGGGAAAAATTCGTAAGGAATTCGTTAACCGAGGGTTTGCTCGTTAACCAAAGTGAAGAATCTTGTGGAAGGTAATTCGTGAACCGAAATTTTGTTAACCGAGGCGCTCGTTAACTGAGGGATCACTGTACAGTGGTCCCTCGGTTAACGAGCACAATCCGTTCTAGAAGGTTGCTCGTTAACCGAAACCATTGTTTCAATGGGTTTTAGGGTAATTGGTTCCAGCTCACCGAAAGTTGCCTAAATACAACAAAAAAGGTAGAAAGTACACTTACTTTGAGGTGTGTATGTAGAAGGCTCCTGGATGATGATGATGGTGATGATGATGGGAATTAGAATGGGGTTGGAGGAGAAGAGAAGGCATTGGGGAGGAAGAGAAGTCACCCCATGGCGCCATTTCACCCATAAAATTTTAGTTCTCTTGGTGTAATTCAAGATTATGTTCTTTAAATCAACACTGCGCTGCATTGTATATTGTCAATATGTAAAATATATTTCAAAATGACCAATAATTTGCTTGCAAACACAGAAAAAAGGTATTTAGTTGAAGAGAGTCTTAAGCAAGATGTTACCTCCACTGAAAAGACACAAAGACTGACGCCTGTATGGTGTGTTGAGAGGCTGGATGGCATGTTCAATAATTGTTAAAATTACAAAAAAAATTTAATATTAAACTTTTAAAATTATTGAATTGTATAAACTTCTTGATATTTACTAAAATGGTAAGGAATTTCAGCCCTTGAACCGATTACTGTACTGGTGGACTAATACTACAGCTGGTGGACCGCCAAATGCAAGCGAAAACATGTTCAGGTCGGCTCGTAAGAAACTCGTTAATCGAGGGATTGCTCGTTAACCGAAGTTAAGAATCTTATGGAAGGTAACTCGTTAACCGAAATCTCGTTAACCGAGGCGCTTGTTAACCGAGGGACCACTGTATAAACAATCCATAGTTTGCACTAGATTTTTTTTTTTTTTTTTTTACACCAATGGCTATCGATGGCTATACGATGGCTATCTTTAAAGCAAGTTGTTTTCATCACATATATGGAGATAATGTTAAATTATAACCATCGTTAAAGTGAAATATCGCATCTTGGTATATCATAACTTGGGGTTTACCTATACTGTACCTGTACAGTATTAGCAGATTGATTTAATAAGGGTAGAGAAGGAACAAGACCTGGGTTTTGTGACTATCAATTGTCAGCATATATGATGAAACAAGCAATAAAACCCATTTGATAGACCTGATCCAGTGAACATTCCATTGTGCTGGGCTTGAAATCTCTTCTGGTGGCCATGGAAACCCACTGGTTCTTAGCTGGATATAATACTGTGATTGGGAAAACTGTGTACAAAATACAAAATGTGGAGACTCAAAATCATAGTTGGTAAATCCATAGTTAGCAAGGTATTGCTATAGTTAAAAATTTCATGGTACAGTAGCAGTAATGAGTAAGTCTTTGTTTTAAATCCTTATACAGAGTATATGATTTTTTTAAATTTGAAATGATTGAGGTCTTCAAATTTCACTACAGAAACCCACTAGTGATGCGAGCAACAAAAAAATTAATACAACTGTGTGACTCTGTTGAGGATAAATTGATAAGAAGAGGAGTTCGACTTCGAGAAGAAAAGAAAAAACAAAGAGAAGAAAAGGCACAAAAAGAGCAACAGTCACTTGGTAAGTTTAAAAGTTTTTAATGTTCATCTTCTTCATGTTATGTGAATTGGGTCTAAGTTATGTTCACAGCAAATGACAACCACTTTTGCAGATATGATTTATGGAAATAATATTTAAAATCTTTCTTGTTTATGCATGAAAATTTGAAAATATAATTTAACCCAAAACTTCATTTTCCTCTTGACTTGCCCATTTTGTACCCATGTATTACCTATTATGTCTTGTGGTAGCTGTAGTTCCAAAAATACCATAGATTCATTCATTAAACTTAAAAGGAAAAAAATTGCCACCTGTAGATGTAGGATTTTGAGGTGTGTAAATTATGAGTACATTGAAGTGGTTGCTGTTGTTATAGGAGCCTTAGTAACATTCACTCACCTATTATATACTGCATGCCCCATTAGAAATTGCAGTTGATGTTTAGTTAATGATTTAATTAAGATATTGAAAACTTTTTGGATAGTATTTCAGTTGCTTGTTGAGAATTTATTTATAATGTAGATTTGAATTTGACAAGTGAAGGGATGCAGTACAGTATGTTTCACCAAATTTGAAGAAAATTATCAGACATGTTAGACTTAATTTTTAAGACTTGTGCTCCTGGTAAGATTACTGTAGTAAATGTTTCAATGCCTCTTTGGATATTTTTCATTTGATAGATACAACAAATGGCCAAGTAGAAGTGCTTCATAAACATAGATAAGGAAAATGAAATACCTGTACAAGGGTCCCCAAGTTCGCGGATTTTTATTTCGCGATCCTCTATTAGTCGTGGATGATACCCTGGATGTACCCAAGAATGTCTGTGGGTAGTTTTAAAGTTGCCGGCATTTTTGCAGCTGGGATAGGGAGCCATTCGTTCCAGAGACATTAATTTCCTTTACCTGTATTGTAAATATGTGTGTGTGCAAATAAATAATAATGGGAAAATACTCTCACAAATAATCAGAAACAAATTCATTAAAAATAAGACAGTCTACCCTCAGGTCCGTGGTTTATTACTTTATTAATAGAGCACGGACTTGAGGGTAGACTCACAGTTTTAAGAAATTTGTTTCTGATTATTTGTGAGAGTATTTTCCCATTATTATTTATTTGTATGTGTTTTGTGTGTGTGTGTGTGTCTCTACGCACACATACATATATACCTATGTACAATGCAGGTAAACAAATGTAACAACCCCCCCCCCCTCCAGTCCGCAAATGCTATTCACGGATTTAGCGATTCGCGGCCATTTTGAGAACCTAACCTCCGCGAATTTGGGGGGGCCTCCTGTACTACTTTTAGAAGGCCATGAGGATTTTTTACATTTGTAACAATCTTATCTCTCCCCCCTCATCATTGCTGTCAATGGTCCGTCTTTACTTAATAATATTGTACAATAATTTATGTTTCCATTTCATGTAATAAAAAAAATAATAATTTAATTGTGTAGCTTGCAGCAACATCCAAAGTGATAATAATAGAAATGAAAAAAAAGTACTAGTTGAAACCGAAAAAGAAAATATTGCACAGAACCAAAAAGTTAATAACAGTAAGGAAGAGAATGAAGTGTGTAGAGATAATTGTGGTCAGGATATTGAAGCTATTGTGAATTGTGATGGTGATACAGAAATAAGTTTAGCTAGAGATGGTGAAAATGATGAACAATTCACCAGCCATAAAATTGAACAACAGCAGGATGAGAGCCAGTGTGACATAGCACTCTCAGAAACAGTAAGGAAGTGCACTCATACACATAAAAAGAAGCACAACAAGTTGGATGGTGGTTGTAGTACCTCAGAAAACTGCGATAGTAGTAGCAGCAGTAATGACAGTGACAGTGATAGCGGCTCAAGCAGTGATGAAGATGATGAGAGTGAGATGGACAGAATATCCAAAGAACTTGAGAAGAAACGTAGTCATCCAGATCGTTTACATCCAGAGTTATGGTTCAACGACCCAGGGGAGGTAAGTGTCATTACTCTGGAGTACAAGTTGGACCTTATTTTTGTCAATCTTAATTTATATCGTTAATTGAATGTTCTGAAGTAGACAGCAAATTGAAAGGAGACTTTAAATACATCTTTGTAACAGTATTCTAAAATGCTGTGTATCTTATCATAAATTTTGTATAGTATAGTATTTTTAGTTTGAATGCTGTACTGTATACTGTATTAATGGGGAGCAAGGGGATGACTTGGCAGCAATGAACCTACATCAAAATAATTAAGATTTTTATTTGACTTGAGAACTGCATAGGTTGAAGCTTTTTGATTGTCAGTTGAATCATTAATGTAGGTCTTGCCTTATCTGGCTTGGAACATACAGCAAGACCCTGTATCACCATTAGCTGGAACATTTGATGCAGAGCATTTCTGGGTGTTAGAGATTTCTGGATATTGAGACAAATTCTTTTATCCCTGGAGAAAATTGCACACCTATGGATTTTTTCCAGGTCTTGGTGAATGTTTCCATATTTAAACTATGCATCTGACATCAAGCACCCTTGCTACTTAGTCTTAATTGCAGTCAGACAGACACAGAGCGGGATTTATTAATGCGAATACTACTGTACACGTACAGTGGTCCCTCGGTTAACGAACACAAGTCGTTCCAGAAGGTCGTTCGTTAACCGAAACTATTGTTTCAATGGGATTTTGGGTAATTAGTTCCAGCTCACCGAAAATTACATACAAAGTAAAAATAAATGCAGTAAAGTACACTTACTTTGAGGTGTGTATGTAGAGGGCTCCTGGTTGATGATGACGATGATGGGAATTAGAATGGGGGTGGAGGAGAAGGGAGAAGAGAAGGAAGTGGGGATGGAAGAGAAATCACCCCATGCTTTGATGCTGTCATTTCACCCATAAAATTTTAAGTTTAGGTTAGGTTAAATAAATTTCAGAATGACCAATAACTGTACTGAAAAACGTAAAAATATTCCGTGTTCAAGAGACCCACAAGCATGATGTTTCCTCCACTGAACAGAGATACAAACTGAGGCCTTGGTTGGTGAGTGTAGTGGCTGATGGGTGCACCAAATACTAGTTCCTTGTACTGCAATTATGTTAAATATGTGTTAAAATGACTCAAAATTTTAATATAAAACTTGGAAAATTATTGAATAGTACAACCTTCTTGATATTTACTCCAGTTTTAACGAATGTAAGCCCTAGAACCGATTTCTGTATTGGCGGGCTAATCTTTCAGCTGGTGAGCAAGCCAAAGCATGTCGAAACATTTTCGTAAGAATTTCGTTAACCGAATTTTTGTTTGTTAACCGAAATGAAGATTCTTATGGAAGGTAATTCGTTAACCGAAATTTCGTTAACCGAGGGACCACTGTACAGTATATTGTAAATAAACAAAATATACTATTCTATTACACTCACCAGCAGATGCTGTTGTCTTGAGCTTGTAATGCAGGTCAGCCATGATGATATGATGATACAGGATGGCCTGCCTTTGTCCTGTATCATCTACTGTAGAAGGTGTTGCTATACGTCTCCTTCCATGAAGGAGGGCTTGTACATGCACTGTATACTGTACATACACCCTATACTGTACATACTAGCCTACAGTACACTATGCATAACTGTAATCACTTTTTTTGTAACACTGCTTTAATGGTATTCTTGGCTAATTGTATCCTGGTACATTACATATCCAGTGGTCCCTCGGTTAACTTTTGGTTCGGTTAACGAAATTTTGGTTTACGAATTACCTTCCATAAGAATCTTCAATTCGGTTAATGAACAAAAATTTGATTAACGAAATCCTTATGAACATCATGTTTTGTTGTGAGCATCAGCTGATGGGCTAGTCTGCCAATTCAGTTATCTGTTATATGTTTACATTTGTTTCCAGTGGAGTAAATATCAAGAAAGTTGTATTCTTTAATATTTTTGCATTTTTTATATAAAAATTATTAGTCATTTTAACAGTTATTTAACATATTGATAATATATGCAGTACAGGGAATTAGTTTTTTGTGCGCCCATCAGCAGCTTGACTCGGCCACAAGGCGTCAGTTGGGCTCTGTTGACAGTGGAGTGAGCATCTATTTTGTTGGGGTCTTGAATATTTTAGCATTTTTCGTTGAAATTATTGGTCATTCTGAAATTTAGTTAACAAATTGATAATATATAGTGCAGTGCAGTGTTGATTTAACGAAAATAATCTTGAATTACACCTAGTGAACGTAAAATTTTATTGGTGAAATGACTGCATCAAGCATGGGTCCCCTGAAAGGTGATATCTCCTCCATCCCCACTTACTTCTCTTCTCCCTTCTCCTCCACCCCCCACTTCTAATTCCCATCATCATCATCAACCAGGAACCTTCTACATGCACACCTCAAAGTAATTGTACTTGACTGCATTTTTTTGTTTTTTTACTTTGTATGTACTTTTCGGTGAGCTGGAACCAATTACCCAATATCCCATTGAAACAATGGATTCGGTTAACGAAATTTTCTGTTAACGAACGACCTTCTGGAACAAATTGTGTTCGTTAACCGAAGGACCACTGTACTACGTAAATCAGCAACTTGCTGTTTTATTATACTATAGTGATCCCTCGGTTAACGAGATTTCGGTAAACGATTTACCTTCCATAAGATTCTTAACTTCGGTTAACGAGCAATCCCTCGATTAACGAGTTTCTTACGAGCAGACCTCAACATCTTTTCGCTTGCATTTGGTGGTCCACCAGCTGTAGTATTAGTCCGCCAATATAGTAATCGGTTCTAGGGCTTAAATTCCTTATCTATTTTAGTAAATATCAAGAAGTTTATACTATTCAAAAATTTTAAAAGTTTAATATTAAATTTTTTAGTCATTTTAACAATTATTGAACATAATTGAAGTATAGGAAGCTAGTTTTTTGCGCGCCAAGCAGCCTGTCAACACACCATACAGGCGTCAGTCTCTGTGGCTTTTCAGTGGAGGTAACATCTTGCTTCAGACTCTCAACATAAACGCTTTTTCTGAGTTTCCAAGCAAATTATTGGTCATTTTGAAATTTACTTTAGATATTGACAATATATAATGCAGTGCAGTGTTGTTTTAAAGAAATAATCTTGAATTACACCAAGAGAACTAAAATTTTATGGGTGAAATGGTGCCATGGGGTGACTTCTCTTCTCCCTTCTCCTCCACCCCCACCCCCATTCTAATTCCCATCATCATCATCATCCAGGAGCCTTCTACATACACACCTCAAAGTAAGTGTACTTTACTACCTTTTTTGTTGATTTTAGGCAATTTTCGGTGAGAAGGAACCAATTACCCAAAAACCCATTGAAACAATGGTTTCGGTTAACGAGCAACCTTCTGGAACGAATTGTGCTCGTTAACCGAGGGACCACTGTATATTGATATATGAATGAAAAGTATTACTGAAAATGTAAACATGAGAGTTATATTATATTTGAGAATCAGATATTATTGTGGCTTTTTTTTCATCCCAAGTGTAAGGTACTTCGGAAATTTTTTTTTGTGTAATACAAAATTTAGTGCAAAAAAATATGGCTCAAGTGTGCTTCATCAGTAGTGATATTTAGTGTCTGTTAATTCTTAAATATCAACTATGGATTAAAAATTCAAATTTTTCACAGATGAATGATGGCCCATTGTGCCGGTGCTCCTTAAAGGCTCAGCGGTCAGGAATCCGCCACGGTTATTATGTCGGGGAAGGTAATTTGCCAGTATGTGACCCGTGGACAAACAATGCAGATCGTCTTCACCATTATCTCATCACTATATCCCCACCCACAAACTTTCTGGTAAGTCCACTTATTGAATAAATAAAGTTTCTTAATGTACCATTACCATTGTTTTTAAAATACAGTACTTTGGTGACTGGAAGTAATTCTGTCTAGTTGAGTTCTAGCTAATGTTTATTTTTTATTATAAATTAGAAAATTCAGGAAATATTCAAGGGACAATATTCTTGAAAGGTGTCTAAAATTTCATCTTCATCATTCTAGAATTCTAGGTAGACTTTCAGTAAAAGCTTGGGGGTTTTGCTATTTTGTTTCCCAATTCATGCTTGTAGTAGGAGGAAAGAAGAGGAGGCCTTCTTCAAATCTTTTGTGAACCCATCACTGTATCTGTCATATTTTTCATTAAATACAGTGAAATTTGAAATTGTCTCTGGTTCATAAAAAAGAGAGAGAGAGAGAAAGTGCCTTTGCAGCCCAGGTCATTCGTGGACATAAATCAGGTGTAATCTATTTGATTATTGAGTTCCATTGAATTAGAACATCTCTATCATATGTCTAGTCAGATGCTTAAAGTGAATATTTGATCCTAAAATTGGCTCGTGCATGTCTGCCCCAGTCAGGTAGTTTCTGTGTTGTGGGTAATCATTTTTGTCTCATTCTCATTTGATGGCTGTGTGGACCAATTTTTTGTTCAAAGGAGATTAAGTCTCAGTAAATCATTTGATTTTTGTTTGTACAGCAAGTAGAAAAGTGATAGTAATTTAGGTAGCCATGAAATAAAAAGATGCAATTAACACCATGAAGTAACCTGAGGCTACTGTACTGTGAATTATCCATATACTGTACTATATATCCATTAATAAATGTTATATTTGATTTTACATTAAACAGATCAAGACTCCAACTGTGATTGTGCATGATGGCCATGAATTCATTTTTGAGGGTTTCTCCTTGTTGTCACATCACCCACTTGAAGAAGTGCCAACATGTCGGGTTATTCGCTTCAACATCGAATACACTATTTTATATTTGCAAGAGAAAATACCTGACAACTTTTGTATCCAAGAACTTAATATATTCTGTAAGTATAAGTTCTCAAGAAGTTAATGGTAAGCAAAATTTAATAGCCACTTTTTTTTTACCTTTACTTGTATTTAAAAAAAACAGAAAAAATTATAAGAAGGAAGTAATCTGCATGCAGAAGCTATTTGATACAGTCTTAAGGCACCTAGGGTTATTGAGCTATTATCCACATTGAGTACTGCGGATAGCATGACTTCACATTAAATTAAGCTTTCTCATAGGGGAGATGCCATCTTTCAAAAATGGGTAATTGGACAACAAATGATTTCTTTTGATTTAAAGCAGATTTAATTTTTATATTTCATCTTTGTAAGCAAGTTAGATATAATAAAATCTGTTTATTTCATTATGTTACTGACCTTTTTGTCAAATTTTCTTCCAGATTCATACCTTTTTTTAGAACTCCTGGAACTTGTTGACTTAAATCTTCATGCAATGGGTGATGCAGGAGGCTGTCCAAGATTCCATTTTATGCCAAGATTTGTGAGGAAACTTGCAGGTTAGTGATGCATCATGGCTGGAAGTAATAACCAAATCATTGATATGTTTTATAGGTTACGAGCAACAGCCATGAAATGCCAACCAAACACTTTAACTGAAGCTAAGAACCTTATAACTATATGAGCATAATTATGCAATGGAATGTAAATTTGTTTAAAAAAAAAGTATGTAGCAACTGCATTTAAAATGATTCCATATACTGTACCATATATGGATCCCTAATGTACTGTATACAGTGTATGAATATTGACCAGTGATTAGAATGTTGATAATTTGTATTCCTCTGACCTAAGTACTGTACTTTGTGCAGACACACTTAGCATTTTAGAAAATGCCATCTCTAGAAAACCTTTCACTAATTTAAAAATAAATTAAGAAGAGGTTGTTGTTGAAATTTCAGAACTAATATTATTTAGGAAAAGTCAAGTGTTGTAAACAGTTTACGCCTCTGTATGCCAGGTTAGAAGTAAGGCCACCACAGTTGGTAGTACAGCATATAGTCCACTGGACCACGATGGGCTTAACCCTTTCAAAATTGATTCTTTCCACCACTAGTTCCCCCACACCCCCTGGGACATTCTTAACCCAAATTTTTTTTTCCGTATTTTAGAAAATTACTTTTACAAATCAGATATCTGAATTTGAAAAGCTTTCATAGTGGCTTGATAATGTATTATTTGTTAGACAGAACCCCCAGTCCCCAGAACTCTCCAATAGCTGGAATTAAAATCGGTCCAGAATTTTTACTGAAAAATTCTCTCATTACCGGGTCTGTAAACAAATGTTTCGGGAGTTCTGAGAAATTTCATCATGCTCCACTGTGTCACCACGTGCCAGCCGCATGGGTGGGGAAAACCGCTTAGGTAACTTGGTTCATAGGCTGTGATTATCTAATACCGTCATGTGACTGCATGGGATGCCTGTGATAGGCTGATGCATCTCCCAGCTTTTTTTTACGGAATTAGCCAACCCGGGCACAGGTCAAACAACCCACAACGGAGCTGGGGGGAGAACAGAAAGAAATTGAAAATGTAGAAAAAAGGTTATACTGTATTAATCTACACCATGAAGATGCCGGAAAACCAGCTTTTTAAAGTGAGACAGATTGTAAGAGCATGGAAACACAGAAGAAGGCAAAGCATTCCACAGTTTGGCTGTGTGAGGAAAGAAGGAGGTACTATAACGGGTTATTCTCGTGTGACCGATATCCACAGAGAAATGGTGGGCACCGCGGGCAAGACGTGTGTTACGAACCCACGGCGGTACACAGGATGCCAAATCCCCTGAACATTGCCCGTTAAAGTACCTGTAAAAGAGAGAGAGTGAAGCAACATTGCGGCGAAGAGAAAGGGGAGAGAGATTGTCGACTAAAGGAGGAGAGTTAATAAGACGAAATGCCTTTGATTCCACCCTATCTAATAGTTGGACAGAAGAAGAGCCACCCCAGATATGAGAGCAGTACTCCAAGTTAGGACGAATGAATCCCTTATATACTTGGAGCAACTGCTCAGGAGTGAAGTAGCTGCGGCATCTGTACAGCATTCCCAACTTTCGGGAGGCAGCTTTAGTTATACTAAGGATGTGTGATTTCCAGGACATATTGGAGGAAATGGTGAGGCCTAACATATTTATTTCAGAATTTGGGGGATGATAGCGTCCTGAAATGTAATTGGTGGGAGATCGTCTACTTTACAAAGTGTAATTGGTAAATATTGAGTTTTGTTACTATTGAACTTAACCAAGTTTGTATCTCCCCATTCAGAGATGCTGCACAGATCCGCGTTGATAGAAGTAATGATATCAGTTCTAGAAACAGATCTAGTTTGAGAGTTAGGAGGAAGGGGAAAATGTGAGGAAGAGTGAAGAGTAGAATCATCGGCGTAAGAATGGATAGAATTAGTTGTAGTGTGAAGTAAATCATTGATAAAAAGAAGAAAGAGAGTTGGTGAAAGAACAGAACCCTGTGGGACGCCACTATTGGTAGAGAAAGAGCGAGAAATCGATCCCTCGACAACAACTGCCATGGATCGATTCTCAAGGAAGCTAGAGATGAGAGAACAAAGTGGGGGAGAGAAACCAAAAGAGGGAAGTTTAGATAGCAAAGACTTGTGCCATACCCTGTCAAATGCTTTGGAGATGTCGAGGGCCACGACAAAAGTTTCCCCATAATCCCTAAGAGAGGATGACCAAAGATGGGTGCAATAGGAGAGCAGATCACCAGTAGATCTTGCCTGGCGAAAGCCATACTGGTGATCCGACAAAAGAGAAAGGCGTTCAAGGTGACTGAGAAAATGGGAGTTCAAGATAGTTTCGAAAATCTTAGAGAGGGATGAAGTTAGGGCAATGGGGCGATAGTTAGAGGGATTAGAATGGTCACCCTTCTTCGGGATGGGCTGAACCAAGGCATGCTTCCAAGAAGAAGGAAAAGTTTTGGTTTTGAGGCAAAGGCGAAAGAGGCGAGCAAGCACAGGGGCCAGGGCTTCAGCACACTCCCTCAGAACACGAGGGGGTATTCCGTCCGGTCCATGCGCCTTACTCACATCCAACCTGGATAACACACCGGCAACCCTGCGAGTGGAGATTATAGGAAAGTGCATAGGTTCAGTAGGAGGTGCAGGGGTAGGAGGGGTAGAGTGGGAATCGTCTAAGGTGGAATTAGAGGAGAATAAGGTGCCAAAGAGGTTGGCTTTCTCAGGGGGAGAGTTGGCTATAGAGTTATTGGGACGGAAGAGGGGAGGAAAAGAAGGCGTGCAGAAGTTGTTACAGATGTTTTTAGCTAAGGACCAGAAGGATTTACTAGAGGAAGAATTAGTCAGGACAGCAGTCTTTCTTTTAATAAAATTCCGCTTGGCCCTACGAAGAATAGCCTTACAACGATTCCTAGAAGTAATGAAAGAGGTGTGGGTAATAGGAGAAGGAGATAGTTTCATAGCTCGATATGCCCTATCTCTCACCCTGCAAGCAAGAGAGCAGGAGCGATCAAACCATGATTGTAATGTGAAAGTTTTGGTAGAAGATGGGATAAATGCACTCATACCGCCCTGTATAACCCCAGCAATGCTGTCAGCACATACTGAGGCATCCCGAGTGGAAAAGCAACATTCATCCCAAGGAAAGTCGGTGAAGAATTCTCGCAAGGATTGCCAGCTTGCCCTCCGATAGTGCCATAGTTGACGTTTAGAGGGGGGTGGGGGAGGTGGTCGTGCCCAGTTTGATTTAATAGAAATAAGGTTGTGATCAGAAGACCCTAAGGGGGCAAAAATTGAGTATGAATAGTGTGAGGGGTTAGAGGTAAAACAAAGATCAAGAATGTTAGCAAGTTGATCGTGTCGATCAGGAACGCGTGTAGGGTGTTTGATTATTTGTTCCAAATCATTAAGTAAGGAAAAAGAGAGTGCCTCAGCTCCACCTGGGTCATCCCTTGCAGAGCCAAGCCACTCTCTGTGATGTACATTGAAATCCCCTAGGTAGAGGATCTCGGTGTTGGGGTGTGTGGATAGCAACGACTCATGGCAAGAAGTGAGATAGTCAAAGAGTTCGAAATAGTTGGTAGAGTTGGGAGAACAGTATAGGAAACAAAGAAAAATAGTCACAGTAGGTAGAGATATTTTGAGCCAGATGACATCATAAAGGGGAGATTCAAGATCCGTGAGTCGGGCTATAGGTGTACGTGTGTTGCAGTAGGCGCATACACCTCCCTTAGAACGGAAGTAGGTATAAAGGTTGTAGTTAGAGACTTGAAAAGGTTTGGGTGAAGCTGCTTTGGTCAGTTGAAGTTCGGAGAGTAGTAAGAGATCGGGGGAAGAGGTTAATAGATGGTGCTCCACAGAAGAAAAATTGGATCTCAGTCCGCGAATGTTGGAGAAATGAAGCGTGAAAAAAGCCGATCCTCCAGCAACCGTAGTGGCGTCAGTTGAGGCCCCAGTAGCTTGATGATGATCAGGTCGGCCCTGGGGTCCACAACCTTCCCGACCAGTGGGACCCATCCGAGAAGGCCCCGCTTCAGTATTAATATCAACTGACATAGGAGAATAAAATAGAATGAATAAAACAGATCAAGAATGAGTAAGGTTTTAGTTGTGGTGTTGTCAATAGTAAGAGAGACAGTTGAGACCCTGCAATTGTGTGTAAATGAGGCAGAAAGATAGATCAGCAACCTGGGACTTGGTCACAATTTTCGTGATGCCATATGGCAGCAGGGTCTACCATTAGACAACACATTATGCTTCCAATATCTTCCCAGGTGGTAGTACCTCCCTGTTTGGTAGCTGCCTACTACCTACTACCTAGCATCATGATGCACTTAGTTCATAGTCCTGTGCCATTGTACAAGGTTCATCTCTCACTCGCTGCTGGTTTTTATGTAAATTTGCGTTTTGCAGTACAGCAAACCCTTGTTATTCATGGGGTTATTCAAGGAATGGCACAAATAAGCAAAACTACCAATAGCAACTTACACTACCTTAGTGCACTACTGTATACCTATACCAAACAACCGACCAGCCCCGGCAGCACTCATCCCCTCTTTTTTTACTTCATCTTTCTTTATCAGGGTCATCACTGACTTCTGCCTTTTACATTTCACTCCACTAGCATCACTAGCACTGACACTAGGCAGTCTTTTAGGGGCCATTTCACACGGAAACACTAAAGTTTTGGGAGTACAACACTAGATGCTGCGTCGAATGTAATGATTGAGAACGAACAGAGGGAGAATAGACGCTGTTGGCACGTGGGGTAACTTGTTACGCTGCGCGAAAAGGCTCACAAGCTTGCCACCATAGCCACCATCTGCTTAACGCGAATCGTTGAAATCGCGAATTGCATACCCACGAATGGCAAGAGTCTACTATACTATACTATACTGTACATTCCTATACCAGGACACAAATCAGTCAAGAATACAGTGATAAAGCAGTGTTAAGATGTAAAAAGTGATTACAGTTATGTATAATGTACTGTACATTCAGTAAGTGTGAAAGTACCAAATATACAGGAAAAGGGAAACACTTGAACATCTTAACTTTCATCGTTATTCAAAACATCATTCTTCAGGTCATGAAACCGGTAATCCCCCACCCCGACAATGCATCAAGTCACACGAGACCCATTAATCCCGTACCCTACCTCCATCGCAAGTGTCAAGATGTAAAAAGTGATTACAATTATGTATTACATTCAGCAGAGTGGACAGTGTATGCTCCAGTCAACAGCATCTGCTGGTGAGTACAGTACAGTATATGTATACAGTGATAAACACACTGAGCTAGCAAGAGATGCCGGTTGGGTTGGCTCGAATGAGAGCGAGACCCAAGCGTAAGGGCAGTTAAGTGGGTCAGACGCGTATAAGCGGGATCACGTACTATGGATATGCATAATTTATTGTATTTTGTATATATAATCTAAGCTTGTTTAGAATTATACTGTATATTAATACACCTGTTAAGACTTGGGGCTTAGAATCCAGAGGTTGTTGTCTCAGCAGGCAATGACAGATTACTGCAACATTTTTGCATATTAAAGTAATGTACTGTACATGATGTTACAGTTCCAATTACCATATGACAACCAATGATAACCAAATCACTTCTCCATCATGATATGCCAGCTAGTAGTGATTTGTATATTCAGTGATCAAATTCACCATTGATGTAAATCATATTCAGTATGGTATAACTAAGAAATTATTTATTGTTTTAACACCTGATTTACAGATAATGGCAAGGAAATTCTGTCAATGAATGAAGTTTTAAGCTTCATGTTAAAGAACAGTGGCCCTCTAATACAGCCTGAAGATCTAGCACAGCTTCTTAGTATGTCTCAGTACCAATGGCAGAACTATGCAGATCATCTTAAAGGTAAGTCTCCTCACACCTTACTTCAACTAAATACAGTGACACTATCATTTACTGAGGAGATAATCAAGGAATGAATATGGTTTCATATGTATACAGTACAATTTAAGTGTAGAAAAGTGATGTATTTATTATGTATACTGTATTGATTCATAGCTAATTTGACATCCAAGAATTTTTTTTTTTCGGGGATTAGCCCACCCGGGCACAGGTCACTGACCCACATCAGGGCCTGGGGGGTGAAAATTTAATAATTATTCATAGTAAATAAAATTTATAATAAACAGTAAAATAAAATAATGATGATAACAATAATAATAATAACACCATAATAATAATAATGAAGAACTATAAAGAAATAACAAAAAATAGTGAGAAGCAATATATGTTTGTTGTGTTGTGTTGTCAAGTAAGAGAAACAATTGAGACCCTGCAATTGTATGTAAATGAGGCAGAAAGACAGATGAGCAACCTGGGATTTGGTCACAATTATCGTGATGCCATATGGCAGCAGGGTCTATCATTAGACAATACATTATGTTTCCAATATCTTCCCAGGCGGTAGTACCTCCCTGTTTGATAGCTGCCTCCTACCTACTACCTACAGTCGACCCTCGTTATATCGTGAGAATGGGTCCGAAAATTAAAGCGAAATAATGAATCATAATATTTTGTTTAATGTACAGTACACTTATCCCCCTATATGTAAGAACTCCATACAGCATTTGCAAAATGATCTATTCACGTAAAATTATTAGTAACCCTTTCTTCAAGATTCGCTATCGAAATTCAGCTATCTGCGAGGCTTTGGCAATTTTGTGACCGACCATTGGCAGATATGCATCTCCCACACACACACTCCACGGTTAGTCAGTTCTCTCGTGTGTGCCGCACTGTCTTCCCACTCTCTCTCTCTCTCCACCCAGTACAGGTATCCCTCGAGGTACAGATGGGTTAAGTTCCCCCCCAAAAGATATAGTCATTGGGTGAATTTACATATCACAAATAGATAAACATATGTGAAAATTGGGGTTCGTTTCCCAATGACAAAAATACCCCATTATACTACCCCAAAAAACTTAATCAGTTCACAAACAAGAATGAAACTTACTTAACTAATGATAAATTGTACACAACTACAGTACTATAATTTACTTCCTAACACATGAAAAAAAAAAACCACTGTTTAACTTTGGTACATTACCTTATGGGAGCTCAGTCTGGGCTCGTCACCACAAAGGGGTGAGCAGAGGTGGGCTGAGTAAGGGCCTTACTATACGCATCTCTCCCCAAGGTGGCTATGTCAGCTGACTCCTGGCCTGTGATTTGAATTTTTGTCTAGACCCAAATTCGTATAAGCGGAGGAAGCTTTTTTATCTGGAAAGAGTGGTGTCAATTTATGAAATTCGTATAAGTGAATTTTTTATCTAGAACATTTGTATCACATGGACGCAGGAAGGAGGGGTATTGCAGCTCCCCAATATTTTAGGTATAAGGTGCTAGATATTGCACCACAGAGTATCTGGGACACCAAAATTAATATTCAGCACCCCTGGTAAAATACAGCTACTCCTCGACTTTCGACATACTCGACCTACGACCAGCCGGACATACAACCGCCTCAGTCGTACCAAAATTTTGTCAAATTACGTATTTTCGAGTCCCGACGTTAGTGATTGCGCTGTGTACTGACAAAAGTTTTGTTTGTAATTCACTTTAAAATGGCTGGCAAGCTTAAAAGTGAGAGTTTTGTGGTGCTGAGAAGAAAAAGAGACACCCATTTTAGATTTTCTATGTATTATTTAAGCATTTTCAACTTGCGACCAATTCAACTTATGACCTGGATTTGGGTCCCTAACCCCGTCGTAAGTCGGGGAGGAGCTGTATGGTTCTCAGGGTATTGACCCAGTAACACCCAACAACCTCTCCCCCACTGTATGTAGAATGTCTCCACTTTTACGGTAAATCAAATGTCGTAGATTTTATTTATTTTGCAGTGCAATTCCTTTCATCTGAATTACAACTATCTGAATCTTGCATGTATCTGAACTTTGTCCCCTTTGGTCCCGTTCATTAAAAATTCTAATTTGGTCCAAGAATCCGAATACAGCTGAAGTCATTCATTCTCGTGTGTGACATCAGTGGCACTATAATCGCTTTGTTCAAAAAAATTGCTTTGATAAACAATAAAATTGATACAGTACATAGCATATCATTAAATACAACAGCACATATTTTATAAAAAAAAAAAATAGCTTGTTGCACACTCAAACCATCCTTTGAGTAATGCCACACAGTTCAGTCAACCAGCTGACTGAATGCGTGTGTGTGCACCTGTGTGCACGTGTGTGCATGCGTGCGTGCATGTGCGATGACATCACATCAGGGAGGGGGATGCGGGTGGGTGGTGAGTCGGCAATGCAGTACAGCTCACTGTCTCCACATATATGTTCACCTTCCAACACATTCTCACCTATACAGTACTCTTCATTTTCTTTTTTTTATAGTTTTATATTTTTGGTAATTATTTATGACTAACCCATGGCCGAAATTGATAGAAAACAATTTTAAAAACGCCAGCTTTTCACTGTTTTTTTTATAGTGGACACTGTTGTAGTTTGTGCAAATGTGTTAAAAATGGTTACACTGTATTTCTAAAACAAACGTAACTTAACCTTTGTGGATATGAAAGAGAGACCTAACCAACCTAGCCAAACACACCTACCTAACCTTACCAGGGGGCTCAGCCCCGTGGACCCCCCAGTATATAAACCAGAAAGAACTTACCTTGATATGGTATAATTTGAGGCCTTTTCTGGGCGTGAGATCATGCGACAGCATCGGCGCTTATGCAGCCCGGGTGGTGGAGTGGTTTATTGTGATGGCGGGAAACGTTGAGCCACGATGTTGAGGAAGTGATGAAAAATTTCTTTCCTGTCTGAAAGCACAGGGACTCCCGCAGTGTGTACAGTCTCTATTAAAAGGAGCAATGCCGTGGTCTTTGAACAATTGAAGAGTCTCGTTGTCTTTATCCCTAAATTCGCAAATTACGTCCATGTAAGTCCGGCGACAACCTTCACACGTCATGCTGAAAATGGAACTGCCGCAAGCCCGGGGAAAAGCACTGCAACAGAGCGCGACCTCATGCTGGGAAGACAGATTAGGGCACGCCTAACAAAAAAATTTGCACAAGAAATGATAACCATATCAGAACTCGTTGATGAAAATAAAATAATAAAATAAACAGTAATACAAATAATTCGTCCGCGGGTTAGTCCTATATATTAACCATATTTTTTTTATTTACTTAATCAGACTTGAATAATACATAAAGAATTTGTTTTAATGTATTAATTTGTATTTTTTATTACAAAAACATCAACACCATCTCTGAAATATTTATAATTTCTAATCCAAAATACAGTGATGTCCCCGTTAGCCGGAACAATTGCTGCAGAGCACTTCCGGAGATGAGAGATTTCTTGCTAACCAGATGAATTTCTCAAACCCAGAAAAATTCCTTATCCCCGGAATCTTTACTGGAAAAAGTTTCCGATTGACTAAACAAGACATCTTGCACAGACGGACACTAGCCCACTTCCCCAGAATGTATCTGGGTGCTGGGATGTTTTCTTTGAGTCTGAATTACTGGAGTCCATAAATGCAGTTCTATTTAAGTTAGAAACTCTATTTCTTTGCTATAATAATCCAGAATAGTTTATCTAAAAGTTTGGTTGAATAAATATATTTGAAAATTAAAAATCTTTATGGTATGGGCATGAATGAAACCATGTGTTACAGCAAAGACTGGTGTTTGCTACTCCCATGGAGCAGTGTCAGGTAGAGGTAGGGTGGGGGATTAGTGGTCTCATATTATTGACCTGATGGAATGTCAGGTCACCCTTTCTTGGCTGGGGGATTAGTGGACCTGATGATGTCTTGAATAAACACGAAACCTAAAGTATTTTTAGAGAGATTATGATAAGTATAAGTAAAATGAACAAAGTTGTATCCCTTCTACATAACATTACATAACATTTTAAAATATGGAGTGAGAAAGCAGAAAGGTGTGGGTGATTAGAGAGATGGAATGGAAATGAGTGTTGTCAAGCACTCCTCAACAGCTGATAGTTAACTAGCTACCACGCAGTCACACTCAGGCAAATTTGTCACACAATGAGACCCCTCACTCCTCATGTTTGTTGTCTTAATTCCCTTGCTAGGGGTGTGTGTGTGTGGGGGGGGAGACCCCTCACTCCTCATGTTTGTTGTCTTAATTCCCTTGCTAGGGGTGTGTGTGTGTGGGGGGGGTGGTGGGTGTGTTGGTTGTTGAGGTGTGTGTGTGTGTGGGGGGGTTGTTGGAGTGTGTGTGGGGTGGTGGTTGTTGGAGTGTGTGTGTGTGTGGGGTTGTTGTTGGAGTGTGTTGGGGTGGTTGTTGAGTGTGTGTGGGGGTGGTTGTTGGAGTGTGTGGGGGGTGTGTGGGGTGGTTGTGAGTGTGTGTGGGGGTGGTTGTTGAGGTGTGTGTGTGGTGGGGTGGTTGTTGGAGGTGTGGTGTGTGGTTGGTTGAGTGTGTGGGGGGTGGAGGTGTGAGGGGGTGTGTGGAGTGTGTGTGGTGGGTGGTTGTTGGAGTGTGTGGGGGTGGTGGCTGGGGGTGGGGGTGGTTGTGGAGTGTGTGTGGGGTGGCTGTTGAGTGTGTGTGTGTGTGGTGGGTGTTGGAGTGTGTGTGTGTGTGTGGTGGGTGGTTGTTGGAGTGTGTGTGTTGGGGGTGGTTGTTGAGTGTGTGTGTGGGGGGTGGTTCTGGAGTGTGTGTGTGTGTGTGTGTGGGGTGGTTGTTGAGTGTGTGTGTGTGGGGTGGTTGTTGAGTGTGTGTGTTGTGTGTGGGTGGTTGTTGGAGTGTGTGTGTGTGTGGGTGGTTGTTGTGTGTGTGTGGGGGTGGTTGTTGAGTGTGTGTGGGGTGGTTGTTGGAGTGTGTGTGTGTGGGGGTGGTTGTTGAGTGTGTGTTGTGTGTGGGTGGTTGCTGTGTGTGTGGTGGGTGGTTGTTGGAGTGTGTGTGGTGGGTGTTGTGGTGGTGTGTGTGTGGG